AACTCAACACCCAAAGAACAAATAATCCAATCGAGAAATGGGCAGAGGACATGAACAGTCATTTCTGCAAAGAAGACATCCAGATGGCCAACAGACACATGAAAATGTGCTCCATATCACTCGGCATCAGGGAAATACAAATCAAAACCACAATGAGATATCACCTCACACCAGTCAGAATAGCTAAAATTAACAAGTCAGGAAATGACAGATGCTGGCGAGGATTTGGAGAAAGGGGAACCCTCCTACACTGTTGGTGGGAATGCAAGCAGGTGCAGCCACTCTGGAAAACAGCATGGAGGATCCTCAAAGAGTTGAAAATAGAGCTACCCCATGACCCAGCAATTGCACTCCTGGGTATTTACCCTAAAGATACAAACGTGTGATCCGAAGGGGCACGTGCACCCGAATGTTTATAGCAGCATTGTCTACAATAGCCAAACTATGGAAAGAACCTAGATGTCCATCAACAGATGAATGGATAAAGAAGTTGTATATATACACAATGGGATACTATGCAGCCATCAAAAGAAATGAAATCTTGCCATTTGCGACGATGTGGATGGAACTAGAGGGTATCATGCTTAGCAAAATAAGCCAATTGGAGAAAGACAACTATCATATGATCTCCCTGATATGAGGGAGAGGAGATGCAACATGGGGGGTTAAGGGGGTAGGAGAAGAGTAAATGAAACAAGATGGGAGTGGGAGGGAGACAAACCATAAGTGACTCTTAATGTCACAAAACAAACTGAGGGTTGCTGGGGGGAGGGCGGTTGGGGGGGTTATAGACATTGGGGAGGGTATGTGCTATGGTGAGTGCTGTGAAGTGTGTAAACCTGGCGATTCACAGACCTGTACCCCTGTGGATAAAAATATGTTTTATAAAAAATAAAAAATAAAATAAATAAAATAAATTTTAAAAAAATTAAAAAAAAAAGAAAATTAAAAAAAGATTTTTAGAAAGTTATTGAAAATATACAATATTTAAAATAGGTTAAAATAGGGAAGAGGAAACATTAAAAAATAGGGACAGAATAAGATGGTGAAAATTTTAAAAGTTTAACTTTTAAAAGACTGAAGAATCATGGGGAAAAAACCATGAATTCTATATGTAGTGTTCCCCTAGCACTGGTGTTTTGCAGTTCTCATTGATCAGTAAACTTGGTCTTGGCTGGATGTTCTTGCTGATCTTCTGGGGGAAGGGCCTATTGCAGTGATCTCAAATGTCTTTGCCCGAAGCGGAATTGCACCGCCTTTGCCAAGGGCCCAGCTAAGTATCCTGCTGTGGTTCATTTTCAGTAGCTTTTGTTTCCTGAATGTTTTCTGTAAAGTTTTGGAGGACAGGAATAAAAATGGTAGCCTCCCAATCTCCAGCCCCGGAGGAGCTGAGGGCTCTTGGCCCCACTCCTCCGTGCACCCTCAGAGAAAAGTTGTCAATCGTTCATGTCTCCCTGGTCTCGGGCTGCACTCTGTGCTCACCTGGACTGTGACTGAGCATTTCTATCCTTGGCATACAGCCCTGTTTGGAGTCTCCAAAATCAGCAGATTCCTGCCACACATTCCCACGCCACTCCTCCCAGTGGAGGAAGTGGGGAGTCTGCCTGGATCTTCCACTTGTGGGGTTTCTTCTTGAAGAAGAGTGGCCTGAGTGTGTATTGGATCATGATTAAGGTAACCGTGAGCTGAGAGTGCACTCCTCTGCTCCAGTCTCTGTAGCCAGCCTCCCCGCTCTGATACCTGGGAGCTCTGCCACACTCAGACATCCCTGGTCTTTTTGTGGCCCCACAGGTCCTCAGACCACAGTGTCCCAGCGAGGGTTCCACCCACCCATTCCACCCTACTCTTAGCCTCTGGAGTGACATCTCTCAGAGAAGAAGACTTCTAAATGTTCTGATTTTGGGTATGCCTGGGTGGCTCAGTTGGTTAATTGTCTGCCTTTGGCTCAGGTCATCGTCCCTGGGTCCTGGTATTGAGTCCCGTGTCAGGCTTTTTGCTCAGTGGGGACCCTGTTTCTCCTTCTGGCTAACGCTCCCCCTGTTCATGCTCTTTCTTCTCCCCTTTTCTGACAAATAAATAAATAAATAAATAAACCCCCAAACTATAAAAGTTCCAATTTTGTGCTCTGCTGCTCTACTGCTTGCTGGGAGCCAGCCCCTCCCGCCATGGTCTTTCTTCTCTATATTGCCTCAGATTCACTTCTCCACACATCCTACCTTCCAGAAACTGGTTGCTTTTCTGTTTCTAGAATTGCTGCTCTTCTTCTCTTTGATCTTCTGTTGATTTTGTTGGTGTTCAGAATGGTTTGATAACTACCAAGCTGAATTCCTGGGAGCAGACAAAATTTAGGTATCTAGTCCTCTGCCATCTTGCTCCTCCCTCCTAGTGTGATTTTTTAAAAGCTGACTTGTATGAAATGATCTAATTTGAGGGAATTAACTTTTTTATATTTTAAGGAATAAACTCAAAAAACCATTTTGATCATCTAAATATTAGAGAAATGAGTTGGTTGAGAATTAAAGCTCTAAATAGTAAAATCTACCTCCAAATCTATGAACAATATTGGTATCTATTATTCTTGATAAATTGTGTCATCAAGAATAAATACCTAATGGAAGAAAATGGTTGGTTTTAACCTATTCTTAGTTGACATTCTTTTTTATTGCTGAATAGTATACTACTATATGAATATATCATAATTTATTCATTTTCCTGTTGGTGCACTTTGAGTTGTTTCTAATTTTTACCAATTATAAATAAAGCTGGCATACACATTTATGTACAAGTTTTTTTTTTTAAATGGAAATATGTTTCTATTCTCTTGGGTGACTATCAATAGAATTGTTGAGTCATACTGTAGGTATATGGTTATCATTAAAAAGAAAAGAACAACACTGCCAAACCATTTTTTCAATGTAGTTTTATCATTTTATACTTACACCATTAATGTAGGAGAGTTCTGGTTTCTCTATATTTTAGCCAGTATTTAGTGTTGTTAGTCTTTTTAAATTTTTGTCATTTTATGGGTATAAAATGGCATTGATTGCAGTTTTAATTTGCATTTCTCTGATGACTAATGATGCTGAACACTTTTTAATGTGCTTATCGACTATTTATAAATCTCCCTTGTCAAGTGCCTACTCAGACATTAAGAAAAATTATTTTATCATTGAGTTGTAGGATATTTTTATATAATCTAGAATTTGTATTTGAATTTCATAGTATCATATAACTATATCAAGAGTATTTTCAGCTGTTTATCAGGATTATTTTCTTTTAGTCTGTGGCTTGTCTCTTTCATTTCCTTAATGGTGACTTGAATAAATGGAAGCTTTTAATTTTGATCAAGTCTATTTTTTTTTTTCTATTATGGTGCTTTCTCTGTCCCAAGAAATCTTTGCTTACTCCAAGATGAGAAAGTAATTTTCCTTCTACAAGATGTATTTTATCCTAATAGCTTTATAGATTTTAGCTTTTATGTTTCAGTGCATAATTTATTTCTAATTTTTGTGTTCGCAATGTAAGGTAAGAGTCCTATTTTTTTTTCATTGATATCCAGTTATTAAATATTAACTTTTGATATCAAAGCTTAGAATGCAATAACTTAAAACCATGAATGCTAATTATATTATACTATAAAGTTGCTTGGCTAATCAATAGATATTTTTGCTTGTGACATGGTTTTCTTATAGATAGACCCATTGCCAAGACTAATAGTTAATAACCGATTCCTGTTCAACTTGAAATTAGAGTAAAACAATATCCAAAACCTTTTCTTGGCCAATAGATTAAAAAGACAGAAAAATTCATGTAAGCCTTTTTTCCCCAGATTCCCTCCTGAAAAAAATAACAGCGGCAACGTTGAAAACAAAAGCTGAAGTAGTCCCACACAGTTTTATGATCTTTTAGTGTCTACGATCACTACTTGGTTTATATCTGTTGCATATTATATCTTTTCTCTTAACATATGGAAGAAGGCCCTTCTTCATGTAAATATGCTAGTTCTAAAACAATGCACAAAGATATAAAACTCAGCATTACTTGGTGTCAATGTTTAGAAACCCACCGCAAAGTTGTTTAAGCAAAAAAGAAATTTGATTAGATAATGTAACTTGAGAATCCAAGGGCTGAGGCTTGTTAGGTCAAATGTGAATTGAAAATTTTCTTTGTGTAAAGAAAATATTTTAAAAAGATTAAAGAAATTTGGTTAATTTTTTTTTTCAGTAGTAGAAGTGGTTAATTGTCTTCTTTCTAAAAGAGTCTGTTACTTGTAGATGCTAAAACTGTATGGAGATTTAAAAATATATTCTAACAGTCAACAGCAGGGCAAATTACTTAAATAAAATAGAGGTATTTGCCCCAGATAGTAATAATATGGTTTGTATCATTGTTCCAGAGAATAATCTGCAATAGAAAAAAAACAACCCTTGGTTTGTTGACTCAGATTAACAGTACTCCTCCCCCCACCCATGTTCTATTTGGAGTGGAAGAATCAGTTTGTTGAGTTTGGTGTAGTAGGTATTAATTTATGATTTTTATAAAAACCAAGGAACGGGAGAAGAGGGCTAGTGCTGTGCAAATGACCTCTGGGATCCGGCTGGGACTCAGATGCTCACTTCTCTGCTGAGGTGATTACCATCCTTGTTTGTTTTGACATTTAGAGAGACTACAAGTCTCACTTTGTGCTGTTTGCAAAAAGCTGAGCTAGTTGAAAAACAGAGATTGACTGTATTTCTTCCGGTGTTTTGGTCTGCAGGCGTTTGTTCCTCAGCCCTGCGGTGTACAGGGCCAGGGCTGCATGGAGCAGATTGTTTCTCTGGGTTGTGCCGACGGGCTGCTGATGTCGTAGTTCCTGACAGTGGCTGCCAGCAAACCTCATTCCTTTCCATTTTGCCTGGTCTTCATTTCACCGGAAAACACAGCAGCTGTAGCCGCACACAGACTTTTTCCTCTTTTCCTTTCCCCCTCTCACCCCTCCCTAGACCTCTCTGGGCTTTGACGTCATGTGTGCTCCTTTCGGTTGCCATAGCAACCCCATTCCCCAAGCCCTCTGTCTGTCTCCTCTGGTAGGTTCCACAATGGTACAGGCAGCATCACGCTGCACAATGGTTTCCAGGCAGTGAAAGAGGGTGATTCAGCAAGCCACTCTTCTTCTTCTTCTTTTAAAAAAAAATCCTCCCCTTCTTTTTTTATTTTTATGGGGGTGGGTGGTGCTTGTTATATGCTTACCTTTTTCTTTTCTTTTTTCATTTTTATAATTTTCCTTTTTTCTCCTCACCCCTCAATTCGTCGGGGCTTGAGTGACTTTAAGATTGGGTTTTCTTGGAAATCACCTGTCTATCATTAATTTTAAACCATTTCCCCACCTCCAAAGAATCTATTCCTTATTACAATTTGGAATGTGGTTAATGAAAAACAAGTAGGGAGGATTTCTGGGGCAAACACTGCTGGATCAGGATCGTAGTTCTCAAGCACGGAATGGTAGGTGGCTCTTTGCTCCTTCTGGGTTCTAACCTGTTTTTTGGAGGGTGGGGTGATGCCTATTAATTGCTCCTGGTGGGGTGGGAGAGCGAGCATGGGAAAAGTGGGAGTGATGGGATGGAAAGCAGGTTTATGAAGTGAAGTACCTCTGAGGCAAGAAGCCACCAGCCTTTCCTTCTGTGTGGAGCAGCTCCCCAGACTTGGGCGTGTGGAAACCTTCGTGTTTGGAGTGAGGGTTGGCAGAGGGTGGGAGGGAGCTTTCTTATTGTGACCAGGGGTTTTTAGACCAATGCAGAGCTACAGAAGGGAAGAGAAAAACAGCGGGGGAGAGAGGAAGAGAGTGGGGGGAGAGAGAGAGAGAGACAGAGAGACAGAGAACAGCTGTGCTTGTTAGAAGTGCTGACCTCAGTCCTATATCTAAGAAATGCTCTGGGTTCCATAAAAAATTAAAAAATCACGTCTTTAAGTATGCATTTATGTTTACTTCCTGAGAGGTGTAATTTAAATAAATATTTTGGATCATATTTATTTATAGTAGAGAATGGTATTTATATATCTTAGTTGCAAAACTAATAACCTTACTGTTGCAGAGACATTCTAGGCTAAATACAGGCCAGGGAGAGGAACACAGGACAGGGGTCAGGTAAGAGATTAGAAGAAACATTGGCATTGCAGTAGCATAGGTAAGGGGTCCCTTTAAGAAAGTGATCTCCTAGTCACAGCAGGCAGCATTTTTTTTTTTTTTTTTTTAATGGCAGGGTTCCCATATTCTGTGCTGGGATACTGTGTCCCCTAGAAATGTCAGATCTCTTTTGGGAAAAAAATATCAGAAACGAGCATGGCAATATACTTACCAGAATTTATGCTTTTGTGCCTGCAGCAAAATAAATGTGATTTATTAGAAAATCTTCGAGTACATTCAAGGTTAGAGATTGTTTAAGAAAAATTATATATGTATTTTTTTTTCCCCTCCACATTTAAATCTAGAGTCTGTCTCTGCTTTTACCTTCTGACACTTAACTTCCCTGGGTACTGCCTTTTAGCTGTAGAAAAAGAATGGCTTATCCCATGGCAGGAGGCTCCGAAGGAATCACAAGGCTGTTTACATGGGCTGTCTTTGCTGCAGAGCCCTCCAGGGTCTGTGCAGCAGCCCTGCGTGCTGCTGGGGGGTTGACAGCAACTTTTATGAACAACCAGAAAGAGGCAGGCTAAGTCATGGGACAGAACACAGTTCAGAGGCAAGGAAAATAAGTACACTCAGCAGTGCAAGCCCACGGTCTGATTTCTCCCTCTATCCCTCGTCTGCTAGCTGTCAGACCCTGGAGGATCTTACAGAATGCTGATCAACATATCAAAAATGGTTGCAGGAATGACCACTTCTCTCAGAGAGGCTTCTGTACATGTTCTACCTTAGGTGAGCCTATATGTTGTCAGTACAGATAGCGACGCTCAAGAATGAGCTCACGACCTTCTGACTCTACTTCGGAACCATTGGATTTTAGGGGCCAGACAGCTCGGAGAGAGCAGTTTTGCTGCCTTTGGCATGTATTCCGTTTCCTGCCTCCATCTCACTCTTAATGGACACAGAGTACTGGGTTAGCTTATTTTATTACACAGAGCAAACTGGATTTTCTCTTCCCCACAACGGAACTACAGCAAATCAGATGACAAAGGTGGTATGACCTTACATATGAAACAGTCTTCCTGCTTCCTCATCTGCACATCACTCCCTCCTGTTGTAGAGTAGCTTTAATTTGATGAGCTCCTAGTGTTACAGAATCTTTGCAGTACTGGTTAAAAAAAAATTCTTGATGATGAGGCAGTAAGAAATCATATGTAGAGTGGAAAAATCAGCTGCCTCCAGCTTCCTGCTTGCTTGCCCCAGAACAGCATCTGCTGTTGGGAGAAGTGTGTTTGTCATGCTCGAAGGGGATGTTTGTGAACAGATCCCAGAGGGACCCAGTGTGTTTTGCTGTCATTGTCTGGTATGTCTGTACCTATTAGTATTTAATGGTTTCATGGGACGTGGCCAGTGGTTTTCAAGGTTAGAATGAACTGAGACTTGATTGTGGATGCTAAAAATAAATGTATATTTTTAAGTTGCAGGAAAATTCATAAGATTTCCCTGGTTAATAGATCTTATAAAAATATCATAAGCAAAAGGGATCTGCCTAACCTCAGTAATGTGAAAAAGCCTCCCATGTTTAAAGGTAAAGCATCCCATATTTAAAGGCTTTTTTTTTAAAAAAGCTTGATTGTAGCTTTATGTAAATGAATTTATGTCTTTGGATGTAATCTTAATGAAAAAGTCTTTTAATACTGATGATTAAAAATAAAGACACATTGGGGGCTTTCTTGTTTGTTAAACATGGGGGCAGATGCTCTCCCTTCCTGTTCTCATTCTGGCTTCAGGTCACATTTGCAGCTAAAAGACTTTGCATGGAATTTGTGTGTACAAATCGAATGATTGCTTAGTTACTTATGAGAATAATGGGTCTCAAAGCAAGGGAGCCTTCCTTCAATTAGAAGAAGTAAACAAATTGACACTTAAAATTCTTTCTCCTTTGCCTTTACTATTTCCTTTTGCAGTATTCTTTAAGCTTTTGGTTGGACATTGCAACACTTAAGGAAAAAGAAGCACAAAGTGTCCAGGAATGACAGAAAGGAGTACAATGCTGTATTTGCTGCAGGCAGAGTATTTCCTCCCCACTACACTTGCATCTCTCACACCTTCTTCTGAGGACCACTGACTTGCATAAAGTTGGGCCTGTAGACTACTGGGGGAGTGCTTATTGGTAAAGAAGAGCAATATCCATTTATTTCTTTAGTATATTAAACATATTTATTGCATTATATAAGTCTGAGATGAGACACTGGTGCTGATTCAGATAAAAGATCATGCTGCATATTGATCATTTCTTTTTGAAAGAGAAAATGCAATTGAGAATTGGAGCTTGAATTTTAGAAATTTACCTATATATAGTACCTATTTTCATAGCAAAGTTGTAAGGTTTTGACTAAAGATTTTTCAGTTTGAGTGCATTTTATCCTTAAGAGAAAATCAAGGCAAAGAGGGGGAAAGTGAAAAATCTGTAGTTTTAAGTATTATCCTACCTCTCTCTCCCCATTTCTTATCATGAATCTTGGTAGAAACTCCAAATGGAGAGCTCAGGTAATATTGAAAATCCTTAAACCAAAGAACCTTTTTGGTATGAGACGTAAACTACAAATTTATGCTTATTTTTTTCTTTTTTTAAAGATTTTATTTATTTATTTGACAGAGAGAGAGAGAGAGATCACAAGTAGGCAGAGAGGCAGGCACTGAGAGAGGGGGAAGCAAGCTCCCTGCTGAGCAGAGAGCCTGATGCGGGCCTCGATCCCAGGACCTTGAGACCATGACCTGAACTGAAGGCAGAGGTTTAACCCACTGAGCCACCCAGGCACCCTATACTTATTTTTGATAAAGATTTTTTCTAGTTGAATTGATGTTTTGGTTCCATAATAAGCCACTATGGCCTTTCTCACTGTTCTTATCTCTGAGACGCGAAAGCCATAGGCTTATAGAACTAATGCTCCTAGGAATGGAAATTAAAGTTTTGAATGGAAAAAAAGATGACTGAAGTTACCTTAGAAGCATTCCTAACCCACAGTCGCTCTGAAATCCCATATGGTGTACAGGTGTAAGGTGAAGTTTCCCTACAGAGCCATCAGGCATTTGCAGACTGGCATCCTCAGTAATAAACGGGATTTTTGCTACTGTGTGTGTGTGTTGTAGAAAACAGGAAAAAGATGCTACCACCCAGCAGTGACTTAAAAAATACTAGAAATTCTTTTTAGTGACTTCTCTTCCTAGAAGTAAAACTGCCTCCCGGATTTTGGATGTTAACCTGCCTGGGTCCTCCACATGCTTCCTGAAAATGAGTTTTTTCAAGTAACTGTCCTCTTCTCACAGAAGATCTGAAAGCACTGATAGTGTAGTGAGAGCTCTCATGCCCATTTATCTGGCAAGGTTTTTCAGTGTCTATACTTCTGCCTTCCTAGCACTTATCACACAATACAGTAATGGCCTCTTCCTGTTTCCTGTGTTTAGAGAAAGTATAATCTCTCAGGTACTGACTGTGTCTGTTTGGCACATTATTGGGACACAATAAATATTACTTGGATGAATGTCTTCCGTGTACAGATCTCTGCTAAGTGCAAAGGAAGGAAGAGTTCGGAGCCATTTGGGGAGATGAGGTTAAATAAAGATGGTATATAATCAAGGGCTCTATTAGTAATTTGACAAGAAATAGAACAGGAATTCAGAGGAGAACGAAATACACGTGACATTGGAGGCTACATTGAGATGTCTGGGGACATAGTGGGGAAAGAATTCGTGGTAGTAAATTGTAGGCACCTGACCAGGAAAGGGACTCTTATTTGGAGCAGAGAGGAGGTTTATTTTCGGTCTGATGAACATACTTTCCAAAGTTCTAGAAATAAAAACTTTGATAATAGGTAGGGCATTGGAGACTGGCAAATCTTGGAGAATCTGGTCCAATATAATCTCAAAAAGGAACAGTAACAGATTGAAGTTACAAACCTATTTTTGTAACTAGATCAGATTATGGGAAAGCATACATACAGGTCTGTTTCCAGCTTCAGAACAACTTCAGTTTAGTTTTATTCTATTTCACATACTTCAGAGGTTTGTGAACTTCTCCTACTCCTTTAGTTGGTAGGTATGAAACCCATCATTCCAATGAAATCTTGCATGAAAAGCAGACGGTATAAACATTTAAAAAGCAGACTGTATAAACTGGGACAGTGGAACTGTCCCAGTTGAAGCTGAGTAGGGTGCCTGTATCTCAAAACCAAATCCATATCACAGAGCCAAATACCATGTCAACTAAAGTAATAATTATTAATTGGGCTTATGTTCAGATTTTAAAATATCCAGCTACTCTGGTGTTGGTAACACCAAAGTTCTTGTGCTTGTAATACATTTGGACAGATGAACTACCTTCAGGTGTTTTATTCCCTCATCCTGTGTCCCATCACTTATTTCCAGTTGCCTTTGTCAGTCTTTTGGTTTCCTAAATGCAGATGGGATTCCCATTTAAGTGTTAAGATCAAATTCATTTTGTGTTTTTGCTTTGATTTTAGGCTAGCGTGAGGAACACCAACAGCAGGACCATCTCAGATCTTCATTATGGCAACTCATGCAAGAAGCTGTTGAATTAGAACAATTTCCTATAGATGAGAAACCATACAAGCAGTGGTGAGTCACAAATTTAAAAATGTTCCTTAGCAGAAAACATGTGATCCCCATAAGCACTTTAAATATTGCATGGGATTTAGTATGGATCTGAAGAAATACTATTCTAAATAATTTCAACTAAAGAAGTGAAAATCAACAGGACAGAATGTTTAACTGCTGGTGCCACATAGAGCAGCATGAAGTCTCGCGGTGCATGGGTGCGTTGTAAAACACCACAGTGCTACCACACTCCATGATACCAGTCCGGTAAGACAGCCCTAATGAACAATTTCATGTGCCTGAGTAACAGCTGGTAACAGTGTTTTTCAGTGGCTTTTTAAATTTATGACATAATTCTATATTTTACCAATTCATCCCCTCTGGTAGAAGAATTGGTTCTGAGCTAAATTATAATGTTCAATACCTTTCGGGAAGACACATATACACACATTCTTATGCAAATATATAGGAGTATATAAAGAATGTATATAATATATATATCAATATAACATTTAGATCCTTGGAAATAAGGCAAGAGAAATCATAGGACAGTTTTATAAAATTCAATTCATAGACATTTACCCTACAAATCTTTTTGCTTAATACAATAATATTAAAAATAGATCTAGTTTCTCTGTTAGTTGGGATAATTTTGAAAACTTACTATTTTATAAAAATATCAGCACACACAGGCAGAATTTTTTTTAATCAAATACTTGATGCTTTATAGTCACCAAAGTCAATAATTAACAGACTCCAGCAGAGATGAACCAATCATAATCTGTCAAATAACTTTTTTGAGAAATAGTGCATGACAGTGGTGCTTGTAAGATTCCAGAAGAAGCTGTTTTGTACTAGTGATCAATATATTTCTTTCGTTTGTTTAGTGGCTCATATAACACTGGATAGGTTAGGCTGTCTTGTGAATTAATGCATGAACTATAACTGCAGAAGACTGATGAAATTAACCCTATACTTATTTCACCTCATGATTTTCATTACAGTCTGCTTATAGTGGATATTGAGAACATATATATAATAGTCATCACTGTGCTGTGATTAATCAACATGTATTAAATGCATGTTTGTTATGAAAGAGAATAACATGTTGCCAATAATCAACCATCGTGGATCTAAAGTAAGGTCAATTTTATATGGCTGAATGTGATATTTTGGGTAATGCGCCCCTTCCAGTGATGTAGAAAACATATATTGCCCCATCTTAGACATTTATTCATTAAGCAAACATTTGTTGAAAATCTGTGATGTAGATATTATCCTTAACTCTTGTGATAGTTGAAAGAGATAGTATCTGCCTTAAAGGAGCTTTCAGTCTAAAATGGTGCTTATGATAAAATGTGCCCTTAAGTGGGGTGATTTATTCAAAGAGTGTGTTCCTTACACAGAGCATTCCATGGGTAGATTTGGGGTGTTAAAGGAAGTGCAGCAGAGGAGAGGCTAATACAGATGGCATGGGGAGTTGTCAAGGCAGACTTTCCAAAGGGAGTGGTATGTTAACTGAAAGTTAAGGATAATAAAAAAATAACCAGAGGAAAGGGAGCAGGGGGAATATTCTCCAAGGGTCCAGAAGCTTGGCAGAGTATGATTTTTTATGAGTTCTATGTGTCATTTACTGTGTTAGGGCATAAATGGTGGTGGTGGAAATGAAGCTGAAGAGGGTACAGGAGATATACCATGAAGGATCTCTTAAAGATAAAAAATTTGAATTTTATTCCAAAATGAAGAACTTTTAAAAGACTAAGTAGGAGAATGACATGATCAGGTTTATTATTTAATTGTGAAATATATCATAGACTTAGCAAAGTGTATAAGGCAAATATGGTTTAAAGAACAATTACAAAGCAAACCTCATTTAACTGCCATTCATATTGAGGAATAAATTCCCAGTAAATCCCTATGTTCTCCTTTAGAATCACATTTTCTTCCCCACTAGAGATGACCACTTACTGCTATCCTACCTTTTGTCATACCTGTTCCTTGTTCCCTTGCTTTTCTTTGTAGGCTTTCCATTTTCCAGTCATAGTATATGTATATATGATATATATAATTGAATTTGGTTTGTGTAATATATATATATATATATATATATAAAATATATATTGTTAATCAACTGATTTTGCTAAACATTGTAAGATTTTCCATATTAATGGAAATTAATATAATAATATATATATAATGGAAATTAATATAGTTTATTCATATAATTGTAGTTTAGTCATATAATATAGTTTATTCATATAATTGTTGTATAGTATTCTACTCCGTGAATATACTAAATTTACTTTTCCATTTTACTGTTGGTGAATATTTGGGTTGTTTCTACATTATTTTGCTAGTATGTGTGCATGACCTGAGTTATTTACATATAAAAATAAATAATTTATGTAAATATATTTGTTAAATATTATAAAGATATTTATTATAATTATAAATACATTTATAATAAAGTTATTAAGTTACATATATATATAGTTGCTTGCAGATTCTAATATACATGTGTAAGGGCTTCTTTTGGATAAATATTGAGGAAAGGAAGTACTGAATCTGGGGGTGTGTGCACATTTAGTTTTTCTAGGTAATGCCAGAATATTGTCCCCAAGCAATTATATCAGTTTACACTCTCACCAGCAATATAAGAGAAATTCTATACTCCCCCAACATTTGATTTATAAGTTCTTAAATTTTGCTAATCAAGTGGATATGTAATTGTACTCATAAAAGTATTAATTGGCTTTTTGTTGATTACTAATGAAGAAGAACATCTTTTCATTTTTTATTGGCCATTTGATTTTCTTCTTTTGTGAAGTACTGCTCAAGTGTTTATGAGATTTGTCTTTCAAAATAATAACTAGCATTTACTGAGTTCTTAGGTGAAACGGCATTGTGCTAAGCCCTTTGCAAGTATTTTATCTCCATATCATCCCTATGATTTACAGATAAGGAAATTCAGGGTTAGAGAGGTTAAATAACTTACTAACAGTCACACAGCTAAGAAGCAGTGGGCTTTAGTATTCAATCGCAGGGCTTTCTGACTCCAGACTTCTTCCGTTTTTCAGATAGTGTTTGGGGGAAGATTAGATTGGAGCCAGAGGGAACGCCTAAGGTGTGGGAATCCAATTTAAAAATCATAGGAACATAATCCAAAGAATCACCAATAAAATATAAATACAAAGCAACTGGACTCAGTAATGAATGTCATGGGTGAGGAAGAGGTAGGACATATAAAAAGTCTCCAGTTTTAATACCTGTTCGCTAGGCAGAGTCAATATTATTTATATGCTGTATATTTATATTCCAGTTGTTGTGGTAGATTTTAAAAATTATGATTCTATGATTCAATAAGAAATGAATTTAGTTCAGGGGACCATAAAATTTAGGGTAAAGAGACCACAGTGTTTATTTGGATCAACTCTTCACTGTTTTAAAATGTGGAACTTGGTGTGAAAAGAGTTTTAAATGCCTTGCTTAAGCATACATGTTGCTGAGTGTCAGATGAAGAATAGATAGCAGGCCTACAAAGAATACAAAGGAGTAACAACTTTCCTGATTTTTAAATTAATAGGTGAAGATACAGTCAATTTATCTGCTAAACATTTTTTTAAGTCAGTTGCCTTGTCATCATTGTTAGCAGGTTTATTTAATGTGGCCTAGAATGTTATCTTCTTGCCCTTGATTCTACCATTGAAACCACCAGATCTGATTTGCAGTTGTTACCAACTGCAAATTGTTACTGTTGTTACCAACTGCAAGTTGTTACTGCCCTACTTATTTTGATGTACTCCATTGCCTATGTAATAAATTTCTTTCACATTAACATGTACAGCATTCCCATCCATCTCCATTTTAGGAACTGATAATTTTTTGAATTGCTTGGAGATGCTAATGTGCTTCATTCTCATAACACACACTCAAGTGTTTCTTACCTCTGTGATACTTCATACTGTCTATCTTGTCTAAATTCATTCCACCCAACTTTTAGTTAGTCATTTGCCATCTTTTAAGACCTTTGCAGACCAACAGCATGGGCACCATCTGGGGCTTGATAGAAAAGCAGTGTGTCAAGTCCCACCCAGATCTCTTGACTCCAAATCTTTCAAACAAGATTCACAGGTGATTTAAATTTTGAGAGGTTCTGCTGAGACTTACTCTAGATTTCATTAGGTGTTATCTCCTTCCAGAAATGTTTCCTGACTCCTCCTAGTGGCATTCCTTTCTAGTGTTCTCACAGTAGCCAAGGTATATCTATCTCATTGCATTACCATGATGTTTTATTAACTATTTATATATCTGTCTCTGCAACTTACTTGTGAGTAATTTGACTCAGATCTAATTATCTTTGAGTTTTCCATCCCTAGCACAGTGCCTGATACATGATAGCATTACACAAATGTAATGTTTTTTGAGTGATAGATGAAAGAAAGAAAAAAGAGCAAGAGGGAGACACATAGAAAGATAGAAACAGGCAGAAAAGATAAAATCACAAGCAGAAAAGACACACAGCCAAAGGACTACATAGAGAAGTAACTAGACTACAAAAAATTATGCTGTCGGTATAGACTGGAAAGCAGCCTCACAGAGAGTCTACAGTCTTATTTAAGTAGACTGAGTAATAAATATGAATATTGTTGGCCAACTCCCTCAGCAGCAAAGAATACCTTAATTTCTCATATAAAAACAGTATAGTTTTATGGTTATTGTTTTTGTTGAGCAAATTTTATCAAAATTTGTTTTATTTTCCTAAACAAAGTATTCTACTTAACTAGTCAGAGACTGTTCCGAATATTATGTGAATGTGGATAGTGGATTCAGGTTTGTTTTGAAGCTGTGGGGACGGAAATAAGAGACCAGTGAGTAGAAAGTAGGCATGATACATAAAAGACCTTTCTGGTGATTAGAATTATCTGCAAGTTTGTGCTTTTAGAAGAATAGCAAATTTTCCAGCATTGCAAGTATTTAACCATCTTCATGGCTGACCAAATATTAAGAACATTTTAGAGGTGTTACTACTTGATGGGGAAGATTGAAGTCAATGACCTCTACAGTCTAGGGTTCTTATGAATTACGAGTCTAGTGTTGTTCAGAGTAGTGCAGGAAGAATGGAGGTTATAATAAAGATTATAATAGTGGATAACATTTATTGAGTGATTTTTTTGTGCCACTCACTGTTCAAAGCACTTTGCATGCACTAATTCACTGAATCCTCACAGAAATCCTACTGAGTGTTTCCGTTTTACAAATGATGACAC